CCTTTCGCAATGCTGAAGATTGTTAATGGCAAGCTCCTGCTCGAGTGATCATCGAGACATTTCGTTGTGAAATTTCTGTTTCGAAACGCCTCATCAACCGTGCTTTTTCCCTCGTTGCGGTCATGTTGCAATACTTGGAATCCTGCAGGGAACGTGCATCAGAATTCATTGTCGACACCACCAACAAGGACGAGATCGATGTCGAATAGCTTGCTGGTCGCAACGAATTCTTCTGTCACGGCTGCTGCTGCTCCTGCTACTCGGGGGTTGCCCTTTTCTTTGATTACTCATCCAAGGGTCCGCCCCCTCTTTCCTCTCCGCCATCTCACACCTACTAACCAATGGATGACTAACTCCACCACAACGACCGACCAACCCCAACCAACACACATTTTCTTGTCATCATGTCATGTATGCACTCGTGCGACGACTTCCGTCTGCTTCTGGCGTCCACACGTATTTAGCGCCACCGAAGGCAGCGCGGGTGCTCGCCTTATGACCACCCAGCTATCCACAGTGTGACCCCCATACCCCGCCCTCTTGGGGTGGTCAGTGCCTGCGCCTGCAGTCGCCATATGCCTTGTGGCCGCCTCCTGCGGCGGCTACCAACCTCATGATCCGACTGGTATTATTGTTGTACAAGTTGGTGAGCACTGACATAGCAAACATCGGAGCGGGCGCTGACTAGTTCTCTGGCCCGGTACTGTTGCTCCTTGCAGCCGCCGCCTTGCCTTCCCGCCATACTTGTTTGGTTTGCTACCCAGTCCATACATTGTGTTACATTTTTACACGGGTCTATTCAGTACGCTAAGCTGTTCAACGCCTCCAAGTTCGCGGTGTCATGTTGTCCCTTGGAGTTCTCTCAGTGAGGTAGTTTATCCGTAAATGGCTACCCCAACCCTCCACCTCCCTCTTCGCGCTCGAATTTTCGACGCATTGATCGATTTACGCGTTCACATCTTGCTGGCGCCGAACATTCTTTTCATACAATATCATTAAATGTATTGTTCTGATGTATGCCGCTTTCTGAAGTGCTTACGCGATCATCAACCTCGTTGTCCTCTTTTCTGCGGCCCTAATTTACTCATCGTTAGTTGACTTGTACTTCGTGTACTTTCCCAGGAAGCTCTTTCGGTACGATTCCTGCGTTTGTTTCTCTAGGAGGTCTTTATTTGTTGTTTTCTCTCTTGTCATAGATTTCTCTTTCGGTAAGTAGTGCTGATTTGGAAAAGTTCGTGTGGCTGTCGATGTCCCGAACGGTTGGTCTCATACGCGCACACATGCATATTGATAGGCTCATTTTGTCTACGGGCTCTATTCCACCGCGACATGTCTGTCTGTCTGTGTTTGCGTTCCAATTGCCGTAAGCAATGATTTAGTGGTTCAGTTTCAGTGCAGTATCGAGTCATGTTTCAGTGTCAGAATGTCCTCCGGTTGGCAAGCCTACATCACCTCAATGACGGAGTCTTCACCGTCTATCAAGAGAGCTGCGATTGTGAGCCTTGCGGATGGTTCGGTATGGGCTCGAACTCAAGGTGCCAGCGCTTTCAAGGTGGGTGAATTGCTGCTTCAGGCCCGGTTCTTGATGTATGTGATTTTACGCGCGCGATTGGGCGCCAGATGTGGCGCTGGTGCGGGCTTCGTCATCGTCAGACGATTTTCCTGTCTCGCCGACATCAACCGAACATCACTGACCATCTGTTTTTGGCATTCTCATCGCGTTTGCTGGACGAAGCTAAGCTATGCCAGCACGACGCCGCGTTGTTCTATCGATCTCAGTTAATGAACCGATTGTTTGAATTATATTAGCTTGGCGTGTCTGATAGTTCCGTTGCGCTGAGGCTAAACGCGTGTGTAATTAAGTTATATCGGGGCCATTTCGGAGCCGTTAGCGAGCCATCTATTTCGAAATCTCAAAAAAGTCGAAAATAGATACTAAGTCAGCCATTAAAGGACAACGCGATTGGATTTCAGGCGAGTGAGGCAGAACTAAAAAAATTCGTTGCGCTCTTCGACAAACTTGCGGATGTCCCGTCTACCGGAGCCGATCTAGAAGATGTAAGCATTCCTGAAGAGCAGTTGTCTTTTTATTTGATTTTTATTTGCCAAGGATTCTTTGAACTGTACCTGATACCATATACATATGAACATGGGCAAGTTACATTACAGAGAAAACATATTTGACTGTTAATCTTAGGCTGGTTTCAGAGTCCGCGATCCGTCGCAGGTTTCGTTGATTTTTGCGATTTGCGCGAAACCTGCGGTGGATCGCAGGAGGGGAGTGCCCCATCTGGACATTTGAAACACTAAATATGAAAAAAAGTGGAATTATGAGCAGTCGTCATTCAGCCATCACTTTAAGCAGAAGCGGCGGCGGCATTGGAGAAAATCGCGCAAATCGCGAAAACCTGCGACTCATCGCGGACCCTAACACCAGCCTTAGAAAAGCCAGATATTTATTCGAACTAGTCCAAAGAGATCAGAGCTCCTGATAAATAATTAGGCACCCTCATCATTCCTAACATGTGAATGAAAGAAGCGTTCCTCCATTATTTTCCCAGTTATCGATTGCTTCTAGTATCTTTTGTTGTTTTGCGTAATTTATTATAGTGGAAATGCTCGCATTTACTAATTACACTACTGCGACGCTCAAAAAACATTTCGGAGCTGAAGTACCACTCGGGTGTGGCTAGTTACAACAGAAAGCACTCTCCGTTTTAGGCTTGCGAAACTTTTCGCTGCACGAAACCCGGCACCACTGCTCAAGAGTGGGCCCGGGGCTCCCGCAGCGAAATCGCTCGCAAGAGCGGAAAACCGCCTTCTAGAGCCGGGTGCAGCAAGCCCCAACTAGGGGATGGATCCCCAAAACTGCATCTCTGCTCTATCGATGACGCAACTTTTGTGCCAAAGAATAGGGGAAGATTCCAGAGAGGCAGAGTTTTGGGGACCCATCCCTAGTTGGGGCTTGCTGCACCTGGCCCCAGAGAGGCAGAGTTTTTGGGACCCATCCCCTAGTTGGGGCTTGCTGCACCCGGCCTCTGGTCCAGCGAACCACACCCGTAAATCTACCTCCTGTGGTTATCTACGTTGTCCAGACCCCGTTTCTCCGAATGTCAACTTGCTCGACTTCTTTCCAGGGAAATTGTATGCTCACTTCATTGCAGGTTCACTACATCGTGCCACGCACGGAGGACAACCTTATTTTTGGGAAGAAGGAAAAATGCGGGTTCTTTGCTGCGAAGACAAAATCTGGTCAGCTTTTCATCCTTTCCCTCAACAATACTCCCATGTACTGATTATGTGAAATCAATTCATTCAGCTGTCCTGATAGCAATTTACGAAGGTGAGAATCAGGTGTCGGCCGAAGTGCGTACGGCTGTGGAGAAAATGGCGAAATATCTAGAGGACACTGGTTATTGAGAAATGACTCCATGATTATGGTATAAGGATGAATTATCATCCGTGCATCTGTGTAGCCTTATTCATCGCTTGATGTTCTTCCATATCCGTTGGTCCTGTTCTCATTCCTATTGTGTTCTCCTTCTCTTGTGTGCTTGATTGGTTTCTGTTCCCGATTCCCTTTCTCCCGATGTTCATTCCTTTCTTCACTTTTCTTCTTTCATCACCATAAATTAGGGCATCTTTTAAATAATGCACTTTGTAATAGAGACGGTTATTTCAACCTCTTCTATTCGCCTTGTTGCTTGTCTTTGTACATGGCCTGAAGATTACTAAACATTTTAAATATATGGTTTTTAATAGAATGAATTTTCTTCATCTTGATTCCTATTGTTACATCCTACGAGACGTTAGAGTCGGAAGAAAGTGAAGTCCAAATCGAGGGGAAGCATGAATGAACCTCAGTTATGGCTTAGGGCGATTTTGCGTAGTACCACTCAAAATGCAAGCAATGTATTGCTACTTATGTGGAATGGTTTTGAGGTATTTCTAAAGCCGATTCAGCACAAGTGGATGGGCACGCCGCACTTTCAGATTACGGTAATAGTAGCGACTGGGTTCAGTGGTAGAATGCTCGCCTGCCATGCGGACGGCCCGAGTTCGATACTCGGCCGATGATAAGTTTGCCACGCGGTTATAGACAGTCACAATAATAGCCCACGATTCATTGGCTTTGTTATGATAGGACATAGTAGGAATACCAGCGAAATAATCGAAACAGAATCAACCAACCAGCTAACTGTTACCCGACTCAGCCTTTATCAATAAGAGACTCCCAATCTTCCTTCTCAGCGAGAGGAAAAACGATGATGGAAAAGGAGCTAAGTCATAGCAGCTCGAAATGCAAAAGAGAAGCTCAAGATGTATAAAAGCGAAGTGTATGTTTTTATGGCCGCTATATAGGCGAGGGTTCGTGTCAGTGTTATTTGATCATTTCCATTTCATTTTTCCTCTCGCAGTTGCATTGCAACATTTTTTCGCATAGCATGATTCGCTGCCCTCGCAAACATAATACCATTTCACATAGCACTGTTCGCTGCCGCAAAATCGAAAAATATCACGGAAACATAAAAAATTCCTGAAATTCAAAATCGCGCTCCGCGATAGGTGCCTATTGAAATGACGTGACGAGAAGCTGTGAAGAAATTCACACAATCTTACACGGCTTCCCTCACCCCATACCCCCTGAATCGGCTACACTCTCCCTCACTCACGAATTTCCATGACTCTAGTAACACCATAGTAGCGGGCAGCAGCTTCAACGTACACATTTCACGCCTACCGTATTCAAAAAAAATGCAGCGTGCCCATCCCACTTGTATTGTACTCTAAACCTAGTTTTGAGGTAATTTTGAAACCAACACAATGTTTTTTGGCAACTAAGAAGAAATTCATTACCACTATTGAACATCCCTGGGATCATTCTGTTACTATTGACAACAGAAAACCCTACAGTTCGGTTTTCTTTTTATATGAATAAGAGCGGGAACACTTCACGGCGTGATTACGGGAATTCTAGTGAATGAAAATGGGAAGGGACCATGAAGGAGGGGAGGACAAAGTCGATTCATTGAACCTGATTAGTCAAAAAATCGGACTAGCAGCAACTCAGAGCATGGGGAACACCGGGTTGTGGCGTGTCGGGCGTTTAAGTGGATAGGTGTCTGTGATAAGGGATAATCTGACGCGTGTGCTCCCGCTCGCTTTTGTTCATGTTACTCGACACTGTTTGTGGATTTCCGCAACTATCGCATCTCGTCGTTGTGTCGATTGAAGCCTCGTGTAATCTTCAGCCGCCACAGTAATTGCTTTGCTGTATCTTTGGGATCCAAAAGTAAAGTAACTAAAAATAGTTCATCCTAGTAGACATAAATCATCTGACGTTTCGCAACAATGTGAAACACTAATAGTTCTTTCTGATCCGAAAATGATGTAACAATGGAAGAACTGGTATTGCACAGCAAAACACAGGCTTCTGAGCCCATAATGAGGGAGATTAAAAATGTTTGCTGTTGTTAAGAAGGGAACACGGTTAGCAGTGCTGTGGGATGGGACACTCACAAATTTTGACTTGATCTAGTGAGGTACATGGTAGACGCGAATCACTGAAACTCAGGAAACTCCTCGAATCAAGTCTAGTAGTTTGAGCTTGGCTGTAGACGACAGTGCTCATTCAATGAGGACCAATACTCAGCTTTCACATTTGAATCTACCTCCTCCAGTTTAGTGCAGGGTTTTGAGTTGCACAGGGGAGAAAGAGAAATAATCTCATAATCATCTCAAACCTTCCCAGGGGGCAGATATTCCAAGTTCTTGAACGATTTCTACGGACTTGAATTGCAACACACTGGAAGCACCATTCAAGAGCTTCGACTTATTACAACTACAGGGTATTCCATGAATTCTGCAACACATTCTGGTCTTCAATTGTGTGAGCGTTTGTAGTCTTTTCCTCAAGGTCGGCATACCTTCACTACCCACAACCCTCTGTGAACGACGCTGCCAAAGTGCACTTAGAGCCCAGTATAACCGAGTATAAAACCGATGATCATTTTTTTCTGAGCCTCCCTGGGATGGCCAGAAAAAAGAGGAGAAATTTTCCCCTTGGAATTTGGATTTCTGTATTTTTAGCAGACCTTCAGCATTTGTTGCGGTGAAGGGTTGCATAGTGGAAGCATTTTGTACAAGGAATAAGATTAGGCATTTATGAGCCCAAGAAAGCGGAGAGCAGAGAAATGCAAAAATTTGTCTTCAGTGGGGATCGAACCACAAGCCATGGTATCGCCAGTTTTTTAGCATTCCCAGAGGCGCTCAAAAAAAATTGTTGTTAGTTTTATGCTCCCTGCACGTGTTCTATGAAATGGAAAAAACCGTTTCGAAAAAGCGCTCCATGTCCTGAAAGGCTTTCCTGGTAAGCTGCATAAGCACCACTGCTCAATCCAACGGGAGGAGCACAGTAGAGACAAAAAGTTCAAAGAGCTGATGTTGAGGGCCGAAAAAGGCGATTACGCGGGCACCGCTTTCACCGAGGACAAAATTCCTTACATGAAGCGGCGGTGGAATCTTCAAACTTCGAAGATGCCCGCACGTGGTCCAGTGGAAACCAATGAGAGTGATAGGAATGTTCGCCACGAGCAGCAGCCAATGTTTATCACGATTATTGCAAGGGTCTCAATCCCCCGTCGCTCACCACAGCTGTCTGTTGAAAAGAGAATAAAACTCGACACAGACCTGGCTAACGAATGTTTCGGTGCACCATTACTTATAAACTGTATACCCTTCACAAAAGACAATGACGATTTCTTCGAAGGGAAATAGCTCTTGCATAAGGAGCAAAAAAGTCAAGCATGTTTTATGCAATGGAAAGGGCCTGCGTTTATACTATTTCGCAACCTACGATGAGGAACTGGTTATTCGCTACGGCATACGCGCTTCTGCTGAATGGATCGACCGCGATTAGGTTCTACTAATTTTGCGAATTTGAAACACTGCTGGAGGAGGTCGAGATGACTTTCATGAGCTCAGCGGCTGGCCTATCACATCGCACAACCAACCGTGCAAAAATTGAACCAGCTGGGCTACGGATTAGATCTGCTACTACCTAACTCGATAAACGTTTTGCCTATTACGTGTCACTTTCCCGATGACCTGAAACGCTTTCTCGACGAGTTATGGTTCAAAACCAAACATGATGCAGAAAGAAACTTCTCCGTAATAGTCGTCTGCATAATCCCAGTGTTCTGCGAAATCGGTCTGGTCTAATTCGCTCCTTATTGCCAGAGGTTTCAGGATGCTAACAGTTTTTATTTCAATTAAAGAAAGTTTTGAATGAGTCAAGATACATGCATTTGATGTTTATGTTCGAAAAACGCAAGAACTTTCTTCACGACCTAATAACAATTTCAAGACAAGAGGACGACTTTAGCGTTCCGAGAAATCGCTTAATATAGGTGTTCTACTGCAGCGCAGAGTCGACAGAAGGAAAATTCTGTGCCACAAAAAATAACATAGATAAATAAGAACGTGAAAGAATCGGAGAAGTTTCTTGACTGGTCACGGTTACAGCAGTTTGCGCCCACCCTGTACACAAGAAATAGGAGCTCTTGACGTTGAACTCCTTTCAATAGAAGTAATCGTCGAATATGATTGTTTCCCGAAGAAAGTTGTCTGTCTAAAAATCGAGCATAATGGAAATTTACAGTGTATCTGCATTTCTGCTCATGTGTCAGACAAGTGTGATGATCCATTCATACACACTGTCCTCTAGTGATACTTCCACCTACAAATTGCCGAAACCTACATATCAAGATGTTATGGAAGAAGAGAATTGAACATGTGTTACACAGAGATGCGAATTTGCTCGCCAGCATAAAGTTCCAACTGATGTACGCAAGAATGTTTTCCCCTCATTCTCGAGGAAAAGGCACTCTTTTACTCAAAATCAGACTTTTACTGCACGTTTCATCGTTTTACCTTTTTTGCTCTGCGAAACCGCTCGGTTGTCAAAACTTCTCTTTTACAGGTCACGACAGGAAATGCTCCTCTTTCGGAATTCAAAAATGGAATTTTTCCCAAGAAGCAATGGAAATTTGCCAAACAATCAAACTGCGTCAATTATGAACAGAAGTTTTAGCGATTTCTAAGTAGTCTGCATGATGTTGAGCGGCAAGAAGTTTGGGAGTACTTGTTTGCCTTTTGATCAAGATAAATGCCGCCTCATAGGAAAAGGTTCCCATTCTGACAAGTCGTATTTGAGGACCTAATTTTCTTCAGCACCTAGTCCTTCAACAAATGCTGTTTTGCGTGTGTTCAACAATTTCTATATCACATTCCGATCGAAAATATGCGCCGCACTTCCCTCGACAGAAACCATAGCGAAATTTAAAAAAATTCAAAAGTTCAGTCCAATAGGCCAAGGTACGGTAGGGATAGTCGAGTGGTTAATTGTGTGCGCTTATGTCTACACCTCTGGAAGGTGTGGATTCGATCTCTGCCCAGGATTAATCATGCCTTGCAGAAATTGCAAAAGTCGTTCAAGTGCCAGCGTGGGGCCCAGGTTGACAGGCCGGCTGATGAAGACCCTCCGTCACAACAAATATGCTCAATAGTCGCGAAAGAATCAGTGCTAATACTAGGACATCACGCGGATGTGGAGCGCAGAACCTTCGCCCGAGCTCTGCGATCAGCATGCGAGGGCTATCGTGGAGTGAACGGACTCGCCTGAGATTCGAATTAGGGCTTTAAACGTGGGAGCGCTGAATCAGAAGTCCCGAGAAGTGAGGCGGGTTCTGTTTGAGCTTTGTCGGTGCTATCACATCGATTCCGGAAGGCGATCACTTACCGTAGCACATGATCTGAATGGTCACATCAGAAAGAGCCTGGAACGGTTGCGCGCATCTAGAGGGATAGGAACGAGAAACGCCGAAGGAAAAAGGATTTTGGACCAGAGCCAACCGTCTGTTGGGCATTGTCCAACGAGGGGGTCGCATTTGGCCGAACCGAAAAGGAAGGGGGGTCATATTCGCAAAGATTAAGGTCGCAATACGTGGGTGAGAAGCATAACTTTAGAGTGCTTCCAAAACTATTAACCACAAATGAGTGCATGGCGCACCTCGTGC